CATGCCAAAACTGAAAGAGAGCACGAGGAGCTGATCCTGAATGCGTGTTAAAGGCCTCTCTCTCTGGCCAGGTTTAAAAAAGAGCAGTTCATGCTAATAGAGGTTGAGAGACTGGCTTTGTGAGCTAAGAGGGATAATTGTGGCCAGACTGAGCCTGTTGGAAAAATGGCTGAAGTTATACATAAATCATAGTGTTTCATACAGTATCTAGGTGCCAAATGTCTGAGACAACCAACTGAAAAAAAAAAAAAAGTTCAATAAGTATACGTATATATATGTGTGTGTGTATATATACTGTATACTGTATACTGTATATATATATATATATATACACACACACACACACACTGTATATATATATATATATATATATACACACACACACACACACTGTGTATATATGTTTATTTAATATTTAGAAACATTACTTACACTATCAGAAGGGGTAAGGGGCGCCTTTCAATTTTATATTTTTACATTAACAATGTAATCAATATTCTATTTATTAAAGCCAAGTAAGAATCTCATCAAGCATTTAAGCATTTTACATTTATTCCAAAATAATAACTCAAGGCAGTAAAAAAGTGGACATATCTAAGTGTGTGAGTTGTTTACTTACTTTTTTTAATTAGTCTTCCTATTAATGCCATTATATTGTTCATTCAGACTGATTGCGTACGCGGAACGCGTATGAAAAAGAGAGGTGGGATTTATCGCATGAACCAATCACAGCTGAACATAACCAGTCATACCCAATCATACCGCGATGAAGGCATTGCCTCCTCTCGCGTGACTTTCCCCCATTTATTCTCAATTACCCCCCCACCAAACTCACCTCACGCTTTAGGGGTTCTGTTAAAACTCATTGGGGGTGGGAGAGATGCGGACTCCCGCTGTAACTTGGACAATGTTTCTTTAGAAAACCGAGTGATTTATACACTTTTTAAAGTTATATTTTTTAATATTGGCATTGTTTTATTTTTGTGCTACAATTTTTTTTCTCATCCAATATTTTGAGGAGGTACTGCTCCCTTGCCTCCTTGGAGGAAACGCCTCTGACACACACACACACACACACATATATGTGTAAATGTGTATATACTGTATATACATACACACATACACATAAACACACACACATTTTCTAATAATACCAAGTACAGACTCAGTTTGTTATAAAATATTAATAATATAATATAATATAATATAATATAATACTGAAAACATTATGAAGAAGCATTCTAAAACTTAATGATCAGTACTATCCAGCATGATTTGAGAATGTTCCCACCTTTAGAAAAAAAATAAAAATAAAACCTTAATACGGTCAACTACAATAGGTTTCTTAAATCTGATTAGTAACCTACAAATTGTACAGATTCATATACAGTTCTTAATTGTTATTTTTTGTTCCCAATTTCAAAATCTTTAAAAATTCAGTTTATTTCCAAGTTGAAATGTATATATAATATAATATAATATAATATAATATAATATAATATAATATAATATAATATAATATAATAATTTATTACGTCTCATATTTTCTGCATGGTCTTTGGATTCTATACATACAGCATATACACCCTCTATCTCACACTCTGCTTTGTATCCACGGATTTATATGTGTGATTATTCAGAAATTCAAAGAAATCCATATGTGCTGCTCATTATGTATGTATATGCATGGTGTTGTATCTGCATATGTGCGTCTGCTCTGTATGTGGGATGCTCATTAGATGCTCTGAACGTGAACGTGTCTTTGGGTGTATGAAGTGGGATTTGCTTGCCTAAATCAGTGTAGGATTCATTTCATGCACTTGGCATTCAACATTTGGGATCTGCCATTGTTGTGTCTATAAACACCTCTTATATGAGACTTACTGATTGCTTCCTGCTTACAAATCCCCCGATGAGGGCGAACAGATGTCTCAAGCATTTAGAAAATGTATAAAGGTGTTTCATGCATAAATCCCACATAAACACATGGCATATCGTGTATATCACATATTTTGCAGCTATTGAACACTTATATCCACCATGTGTCTAACACTTGAGCTCCGTTCCAAAACCTCTGGCAGTGTCCTAACTGATATAGACCCTCGTGATGACTGATTTGCAATGGTCTACATAGCCAAAAGCTCACAATTGATTTCAATAAACCAAGGAACGACACAATCTTTTTTAATAAAACATAAAGCTAACTTTATCAACTCTTTTCAGTATTTAATGAATCATAAATATAATGAAAATATTTTTTCTTACAGTCTTTGATTTATTTTGGCAGTTTGTCGCAGTACATTCTGGGATTGCCTTCTTTGTAAAGAATAAATGTGGTGCCACCTTAGAATTCAGCTCGAAATAAGGTATCTTAGCAAGCAGAAATACTGGAGCCCACCTATGATGCCTTAAAATGCTGCCTATGGAAGCAGCTCACTAGGTTTTGGAACTGAGCTTATGTCTGTTCTTTGATTCTTTGTGTGTGTGTTTGCATGAAGGGAGGTTGTGAAAAATTGAAGCCTTGGCTCTTGCTCTGCCACAGTTTTCAGCATTTCCCTCATGACTGTCCTGTTTTGTATTCACTTCTTTTTATTTGAACCGCTATATTCTGCCTGCGCAGGGCATTTGAAACACACCGATAGGTTTCAGGGAGGGATGGAGGATACTGTCAGGTCAAAGCAGCCTCTCTACATGAAGCAAAGTGTCTTTTCTGCTGCACCTGGTCCCCGTTTACTGATTTATATTAGAGTTTAAACATACACACATATTATGGGGGAGGGCAAGTTGCCCTAATCAACCAAATATTAATTCTGATAGATGAATAATGCAGTTTCGTGCTTATGGAGTGAGTGGGTATGAGGAAGCCTTTCTATAGCCCCTTCCAGAGACCTATTACCTTAAAATACCCTACAGTGAAAAGTGTGAATTAGTCTTTTTTCTGACTTATCTTAAAGGATAATGTGAAAACTCTAGTGAAAAAGTAGTATACTTTAGCATACTTTTAAAAAGAGTACATATTATGGACACAATATACATCAAAATAATATACTTAAGCTAAATGTAATTTAATCTGACACGTTTTTGTATGTTAATTGAAATTTATTATAGTTTAAATTCACTTTATTAAATACAATTAGATGAACATAAGAGAACATAAGACCCACTTAAATAGAACTTAAGTACATTTTTTATATGTAATTTCATAATTACTTCTATTGGCTTTAAAAGCATAGTTAAAATCTACTGCTGAATGCACTGACAAGAATATATGGTAAAATAAAATATACTTTAATTTCTATTGAAACGTGTATGCCATGTATTTACATATTTTTTAATTGCAGATATGTAATGACAAAATTACAGTTCAAAACATTTAATATAATTTAATAATAGATTTTAATATATATTTAATATATTAACTTTAAATGTAATATAAATGATCAAATGTATCTTAATCAACACATCAAAATAAGGGTAGTTATAAAGCATGGCAAATTATTATTAAAACAATTTAAAATGTACTTTAAAGTAAAACTTTCATTTTAATTATTACAATGTCAGTTTTTTTAAAGTGTGCTTAATTGTGTTAAGAAACAGTCATGAAAGTGTACTCCTTTAAGCACACTTAAGTGGCTTTTTATTTCATTAATATTATATTATCTGCAACTATATGTATATATATATATATTAAAATACACCTGTAAGATTTGAAGTACTACAAATGCCCATTTTATACAATTAAGTACACTATAAGGGCAGCAGCTCAGAAACTACTGCACATGAAAAGTAGTTCTAAAGCATGGCAAATTATTATTAAAACAATTTAAAATGTACTGTAAAGTAAAACTTTCATTTTAATTATTACAATGTCAGTTTTTTTTAAAGTGTGCTTAATTGTGTTAAGAAACAGTCATGAAAGTGTACTCCTTTAAGCACACTTAAGTGGCTTTTTATTTCATTAATATTATATTATCTGCAACTATATGTATATATATATATATTAAAATACACCTGTAAGATTTGAAGTACTACAAATGCCCATTTTATACAATTAAGTACACTATAAGGGCAGCAGCTCAGAAACTACTGCACATGAAAATGGTGGCCATTATCATATATCACATATAATAAAAAAAAAAAACCTAGATATTGAATGTGTCTCTTGAAATAGAAGTGCTGTAGACTTTCTATGCAGTGCTAATCTCTGATAAAAGTCCATATGTAGTATCTATCGCTTAAAGGTAATATAAATATTGTAAGTGGCTGGCAACTCAGCAGAACAAAGGGGTTTTCATATTAATAACTGATTGAACTGGGCTTAGATGGGATCTGTTGACCTTTATTTTGGAGATGAAAGTACTGCACTCTCAATGGCGAAAATTTTCATCAAATAAGCCCAAATTATTAATAAACAAACAAACAAACAAACGTACAAGGGTTATGTGTGTGGTATTTTGTGATTGACACACATTCCAATTCTGTGTGGCCACAGATGTCATGTGGGTCTGGCGATAAAGAATAAACCTATCAAAGAATCAAAACCTATCAAAGTCGGCCTACCCTGAGCTCTAAGGTTGTTAAGCTATGGTATATGCTTCTGTAGAACCCAAACTTCAATGTGATTTCCATATCATAAAAAAAAAAATCCAAGACCGTTTGCAGAATTTCTGTTGAATCCAGAAGTTGCTGTTACCATAAAAATGTGATTGCAGCAAGCAGAACTGTCACAAATTTGTGCAGGCTGATATTTTTGTTTGATTTTTGGAAACCTTTTTGCTTCCAATGAAATTTTGTGACTTATGGCTTAAACTGTTCATTACAAAGTCATTGAAAAAAGTGAATGGAAAAAATAATTCCCGAACCAAGGCCGCTGAAAAAGTGGGTGGTTATTGTTGTGATCTACTGATTTGACAAGTTAAATTACATTTAAAATAGACTGAAGTGCAATCTCATTTCTCAAACTTTATGACCCTTGGTGACAGACAGGAAGACCTTCTTACCATTGAAAGTGGAATGATGGCTTGGATGTCCTTCTGCACAACCGTCAGCTCTGTGACCACCTTCTCTGCATCCGAGACTGGATCCTGGCCCCGGTAATCAATATTCCAGTTGATTCTTCTGGTGACTGATTGGCTGGTGAAGTTCTCCATCTCAAAGTCTAGCTGCATAATTTCGATGCTGGCAGCCATGTCCCTGAAGAGATACAAGAAGATCATGTGACAGTGAGCACACTAAATTGATCAATAATAAGGCTGTAAAAAATACTGGTTATCCACCAGATTTATCCATTAAGCTCATTTAGAAGAGTCTAATTAGGGTTAGGTATGCATTTAAAGCTTAAATGGTTTAATATGCTGGCCATCAACAAAAACAGATGTTCTGTCATGTATTAGGTATTATATATTGAAACAATCAGCAAATGAATCAATCAGAGAGCCGGGCAAGGCCCATCTGTTGTTTGGGACTGGATCACAGGGGCTCAAAATGGATTTACAAATTACAAATTTAACGAAACAATTGCAAACATGAGACAGAGTGGAGCATACTGTATGTGTATATAAACTATATATACGACCAAAATAACATCTACATGCACAAACAGCGTTATTAGATTACATAGATGTTAGATATGTGTGCGTACATATTCTCGATATTACTGTTTTTACTGTATTATTATCAAATAAATGCATCTTTGTTGGGCATATGAGACTTCTTTCAAAAAGCATTAAAAAAAAAACTTTAAAAAATCTCAAACCTGTTTTTGAACAGATTTTTTCTGAACACTCTCTTTGTCTGCCATTGTTTGGCCAAAAAGGATGTCCTGCCCCAAATTCTCTCTTTTGGTTGAGCCAACCAATATAGGTGTGCCGGGTTACACAAATAAACAGAGCAATGTTTTATAGCACCACTGAGAAGTGTTGTTACTTTTCGGGTGAATCAACCTATAAATGGCTTACTTATAGTTTTCTCTGCATATTAAGCTAGGATAGGGAAAAGTACTGTATAAATAAAATGTATTATTATTATTATCATTACTGTAACATAGGAAAAAAGTACACATCACCTTTATTATAAAGCAATAAAAGCAAAAATGCTGCACATATTCTTTGATTTCAAGTGCATTGGTGAAATGAACACAAACAGTCATTAAAACAGCTGAGCACAACAGTTCAGCAACATACTGGAATTAAATTGGCGACACGGAAAGCAATGGCAATGGTGCCTGGCAAATAGTTTCTTCAGAGTCTTTGCAGGAAACCTCCGTAATGGATAGTGACAGGCTAAATGGGTTCTGTCTGTTGATCTCATGCACACTCATCAAGGATTATTTCCTTTATCTGAGACTCCTGTTCTACAGGTAGATGTGCTGATAGCAGCTGACAACCACGCTGAGAAAGACCGGCCAAAAAATAAATTCCCTTGCTGGGAGTGGGTGCGCTTGTGGAAAAATGCTGCAGGGTTATCAAAATGTTATCTGTGGGGGGTAATTAATGTGTCAGAGCTGCAAAATCAACAACTTCTTCTTGTGGGGAATAAGAAAAATCATTCTTTTAGCTTATTATAGTTTTATATATGATGTGAAATTAGATTAAATAATTAAACAATTTAAATGTTACATTTAATTGAACCTAAATAATTTTTTTACAGTCTTATAGTATCCTCAAAGCCTATTTAGATACTTTATAAGCCACATTTAAGATGTAGGAATGACACTGAATTACATAACGAAATATCATAAAAGGGACATCTTGAAACAAATGATGCAACCTCTTTTCTCAGAAATAACTTCACTTTTAACCATCAAGTCCCAAAGCAATTTTAAGTAAATGCATGAAGTTCCCCTAAGATGTACACTACCATTCAAATAAATAAATAAAAAATAGCAAGGATGCATTAATTTAATCAAAAATGACAGTAAAATAATTCATGTTAAAAAAGATTTCGAATTACCAAAGATTTCAAATAAATGCTGTTTTTTAAGAATCCTGAAAAGATTGTATCACATTTTCCACGAAAATATTAAGCAGCATAACTGTTTTTAACATTGATAATAATAATAAATGTTTCTTGAGCAGCAAATCAGCATATTAGGAAGATTTCTGAAGGATCATGTGACACTGAAGACTGGAGTAATGACTGCTGAAAATTCAGCACAGTAATAAATTACATTTTAAAATGTACTAAATTAGTTATTTAAAACTGTATTAATATTTTACAATATTGTTTGGCATTTTTGATAAATGCACCTTTGCTGAGCATAAGAGACTTAGGCTAATGCATTCAAAAATCATTAAAAAAAATCCTTAATTTTGCAAAATATATTTTTTAGTTTTGTCTATTAAAGGGGACTTTGGATGCCCAAGGTAGTAGGATTCTTTAGGGTCTTCATGAAATATCTGTAACATACTTTGGTTAAAGGGGTGGTTAACTGTTTTTTTTTCTAGGCTTGATTGTGTTTATGGGGTGCAGTCTAACATGTGTTAATGCTTCGCTTTTAAAAAATGCATTATTTTTCACATAATTTACCTTTATTCCACACCGCTCTGTCCCTTCTCTGAAAAACGCACTGATCATTTCCTTCTTTTATGAAGCCCCTCCCTCAGAAATAGGCGATGGGCTCTGATTGGTTAGCTAGCCCAGTTTCTTGATGTCCATTCATTGGACACTACATTAACAAAGTTAATATTGCCTTAATTATTTAGCCATTGCTGAGAATTGATTGTCCAGCACAACAGGAGAGGAGGCCAGAGAAGAGTTTTGCTAACAATCAGTCATTAAAGCACTGCCAGAACAGGAGCCAGCTTTCAAAACGCCCTGCATTTAGAGTAATTTTAGGCTTGCTTAACTCTAGAGTGCAGAAACATAAGGAGAAAAGAATTTGCGTGACTGTGCCTGCAATTGAATCTCTAATTGAAAATTCACTAATGGAATGATGAGGCTTGTCTTATATTGACAAATAATGCTGGCTTTGCCTCGAAGGCCAGCCCTAAACCATATGCGCAATGTTTGCTCCGAGTCACTCATTAAAACTGTTAGAAAAGATAGATGGTGAAAGAATATGGGCAGCGTTTGCAAAGAAATTTGCAAGTCTAAGAAGAGAGCTGCAGTCTGTGGACAGAATGAGCCACGTTAACAGAAAATCTATACGAGGAAATGGCATCAACTTGCTAAAAATGATTAATCTTCCCAGACAACAAGCTCATACAGGCATTATTTTGTTACGATACAAAAAGCCCCCAGCCACATATAGACATATATTCTAAAAAAACAAAGAGATGAGCTCAACTGTGAAATAGTCTCAAAACAAGCAGTACATTTTGTTAGTTGTGGTGAAAAGTGCAAATCTGTTTAAACTCGCATTAAAAATAACAAGCAACACCCCTCTATAGCATGGTGTCACAATGGCGCTTGACAACATGTCAGAGACTGCTGAAATGTGCTGCACATAAATAAACTGTGATAAGTTTTTATGGCCAAACTTTGCCACTTAAATTCCATATAAAAGGAGTAATTTCTTGTTTCAGACAGTACAATAAATTGGTTGGGAAGTGAGAGACAATATATATATATATATATAAATATATATTTTTTTGTAACCACACTGTAGCAAAGTGATATTTTTTTTTCATATGCATAAACACTGAAATTATTCTTACATTATTGTATTGACAGCATCTAAAATGTAAAACATCTGTATAATAGTAAAAAGTAACTATGCAAATATTTAAAATATTAAGGATTCATAAAGATCTTTATATTGCTAAAGCTGTACATGTCAATACTTCCATTTGTAGATGTTGTTAGTATGTCCATATTGTATGTTTCAGAATATATCCAAACAAATATATAATAGTTTTTCTATATTTTATTCAACAAGGATGCATTAAATTGATCAAAAGTGACAGTTAAAGACTTTTACGTTGTAGCAAAAAATATATATATTTCAAAGATATGGTGTTCTTTTGAACTTTCTATCCATCAAAAACCTAAAAAATATATTCATATAGAAAACAGTTCGTTTAAATTGTAACAATATTTCACGATTTTACTGTTTTTACTGTATTTTTAATCAAATAAATGCAGCTTTGGTGAGCATAAGAGACTTCTTTCAAAAACATGAAAAAATGGACAGTAGTGTACAACAAACAATCTGATGATCAGAAGATTATTTTTGTAAGAGCTGGTTCATATGTAAGCCAATGCTAGCATATCCCAGCTTTATTTATGTAACAAACTGTATATCACTGTTAAACCATTAGAATGGATTTCCTATTCTGTCACTGAACTTAAATGAAGATGGCTTGAAATAGCTTTGGTATGCTGCATCACATTGCTTTGTTACAATTTAAAGGGTATGGTTACTAAATCAAACAACAAATTGTGTATTTACCATAAGATTTTGGTCTGACTCCGAACGATCACTAGACACATTAATAAAATTATAAAAAAATGTTTTTAAAAAACTTCTTTCTACTGTAGTATTATACTGTATTTTGTTGGGCTGAATAGTCTTAATTGGCAGTGTATTAAAAAAAAACAAAAAAAAAAACAGCCTTCAGCTCCAAACTGATGAAACATGCATACTGTGGCAGCTGTCAGAACATACTGTCTGCCAGGAAGGGCAGGAGGTATTCCTGTAAAAGTACAGTTTTCCTGGTAGCATGCATAGAGACAAATGGTAGGGTTGCAGGTGAGTGACATGGACTTTTCACATGTCAGACACAATAAAAAAAAATATATGCCAGGGTCCACTTTATACGGAAGAAAAAAAGAAGGATAGCGAAAGAAGTATAGAAGTATATATATACTATAAGAGGCTTAGAACATGAACAAAACAGCATGATGTTTAATTTAAATGACCTTGCTGGCAATCTCTGTGTCAACTCTCAATCACCACGTCTTGACCTACCTGACAAAAGGCAAATAGCACATGAGTTTACTGGCTAGATGAATCGCTCAGTGTTCCTGAAGATGGAATGGAAGATAAAAAGCTTCTAGAGTTTTGCAGATTTCTAAAAATGTTTATCTATTATAGTTCAATTGTTTGTGTATACAAAGAAATATAATCTGATAGAAAATCTGTATATTAGAAGCCTCTATGCAGCAAACATGATCCTAATTTAATGGATACATTTACATTTTTTATTCTTGTACATTTTTGGTAGTTTGTTCAGGATGACATTATTTTATTATTTTATTTTATGGTTACAATAGGAATCCTGTACGTTTCTTAATTTTTGAATACAGACTTTTTCTGTCATAAAGCCCTGCAATAATAATTTAGCATGAAAGAAGACACAGGAAGTACTAATTAATATGAGTACAAATGTTTCATTTAATGTAAGCCACTCCAATTAGACTGTAACATCCTTAAACAAAGGTCTTAACTGAACAGACGGCATTCTTTTTAGTTGAATGCTATTTGGATTAACTAGCAGATGTTTGAGTGGGTGAATGTTATGATTCAAACATGAAAGTTTAGATTCTCTTTTTGTTGCTGATCTGCAACCAGATTACCATTCACTACAAACTGCTTAGTTTCCCCACTAGGGAAACTGTTCCTAGATAAGTGTACAAAAAGCGGGGAAGCTCACTTACCCAGGGACTCCTTTGATCTTGCTGGCTTCCACGGTTGCAATGGAGTGTTTGGCTCCGGACTGCACATCCCATTCAACCTTCCACTGGTTACTCCTCGACTTAGTGCTAAGAAGGTTCACCCCTTTCTTTGCTTTCACCCTGTAAAAGAGACACAGATGGTTTTAAAGAAAAATATATGGCTGGAGCCTAACAAGACAGTTATGCATTTAAGCGTTCAGAAGATGACAGACACAATGGAATACCAAAAGACTCTGTTTTAGCCTTTCAATATCTTAAATATCATATTAAGAGTTTTAATGCCATGACACACATTACTAAAGGCCTGTTCACACTAAGACAAATGCTCAGTGTGAAAATTCAGAAAAATAAACATTTTAATTTAAAGGAACATCTGTTGATGCTTCTGTTCACACCGACACGAACATTTGCATTCCATCATTGTAACAATTCTTTTTTTCTGCATTGGTCTGAACAGACAAATCACGTGAAAAAAATTGTATTTTCATGGTGAACCTTTGTGTGTGTGTGAACAGGCCTTAAATGTTTAATTTTGCTACCGAAATGAGCAAGATACACAAACCAACGTGCATGGTCTGACAGAAAAGCCCGAAACAAAAGAGAACAGAACAGAACAGAAAACAAAACAGAAACAGAACAAAAAACAGAGCAAAGCAAAATAGAAAACAGAAAACAAAACAAAACAAAACAAAACAAAACAAAACAGAAACAAGATAATATAGCATAAGAATCCGTGTATCATTCGATCATTCATTTTTTGATTTAATATTGAAAGTAGAAAAATGAGAAAACGGCTTTTTGACTTTTTCGTTTTTTTCCAAAAACCGAAAAACAAGAATTCAGCTTAAATTTTCGTTTTTCGTTCAGGGGTAGAAAAATGAATAAACAGCTTGAATATTCGATTTCTACACATGGGCGGGAATTAAACACCCCTTTCTGCTGATTGGTCAGCCAAAGATCAAACCGTGCCATCATCAGTTCTTCCGCAGTATCACGCAGCAGAATAATAGTCCTCCACTGCTGCAGTTGTATGGATTCTTAAGCATTTATTGCAACTACATTTCATCTTTTTTCATCAAACAAACAGGCTAATGAATAGCTCGACACAACTCA